TGGCGTTTTTTTCCACTCCATGAGCGCCGTTTTTTCCTTGACTCCGGGAAGAGGCAGGGTTCGGCTGTCAGTTTCATTTAAGGAGTTCTTTACAATAACAGTTCTGCTGGTGACCACCGAGTGGCCTCGCACGAGACCAAGGGGAATGCGGGCCGATGAAACCCCAGATCCTGGAAGCTCGCCATCTTCTCCGCCACGCCTCTGAGGAACACTTGGTTCTGTTTTTTCGAGGTCAGGGCAGCTGCTATATAAACATGTTGTACGTCCTCGGCCCGCTGCTTCTTTGTTGTCTCCTTCTTGGCGCGGCGGCTGCGAGAGACTAGGATCTCTTTCGCAGACAGACCGAAGACCTTGTTCTTTTCAAGGACAAGCCTCTGCGATCGAAGGCCACCGTCTGAACCCACAGCGACAGCGTAGTCCGAAAAGCCCACGGTGCCGCCCTTGGAGACCATGTCTTGCGCAATCTTGCAGACACTGTTCAAGATTTTCTTTGAAAACCGACCAAAGGCACCTCTGCGCGTCCATGGTTGGCTGGGCCTCTCCCGGATGCTGTCGCCGTTCCAAACATAAAGCACCTTATTCGGTCTCTTCGCCTTCAAAAAGGATTCGCACAGCTGAGCTCTCACCGCCTCAGTCTTGAGATTTTTGAACGGGAGCTGCAACACCTGTGTCCGCTTCTCTAGCCAGCGCTTCACTTGGGCATCGTCCCCCAATGCCTCCTCTGCTGCAGTGGTCGCCGCAGCATGCTCGGCCCCGCCCTCCGCGACAACAGACCAGAGTTTTTCGGCCAAATCGACCTGGACCTTCGCCCCTTCGGCCAAGAAGCCAAAGCGATTGTGCTTGGACAAAAAGACCATGTCCCTCGCGTATCCGCCGGAGAGGACCTGCAGCAGGATCTCGGCCAACTTGCGAGCGCGATCATCCTTGTCCTCGAACCATGACCCCAAAGACACTCTTGGGCGGCGCGGCTTTCCCTGCTCCGCCTCCTCCTCATCATCCTGCTGGACGCCAGCATGTTTTTCAGCTGGGTCCTCGTCGTGCTCCTCCTCTTCCTCCTCCTCCTCCACACGGCTGGTCTGGACATACCTGTCCCCCTCTAAGAGACGCACTGGCCGCGCAAACAAGGCCAGGACGTCCAAGACGTCCGTCGCTCGCGACTCGTCTTCTGCACGTGCTTTGGATTCCAGCGAAGACAACAGAAGCATTGCCCCGAGAGTGAGCGCCAGGAAACTGGTGTGCTTTAGTGCGTTCATACTGTGCGTCGTGAATTTCGTTGTCCGGACAAGACCACAGTGCAGCAGAAAATACATTGTCTCCAACACATACGCGAGACTGCCAGGCATCGCCGCTTTGCAGCCGTTCAGAAGCATTCGGAGCTTTTCCTGGCTTCGGACAAGGAAGCCGGCATAGAGAGAGTCCGTAAACCCACAATGAACACACAACAATCAATCAACAAGAACGGCTAGTAGTCTGCCAGTGCTGCCCAAGACACCGAGTGGAGAGAAAACAAGGTCCTGCCCCAGCGCCTCTCCAACATCAAGAAGATGTCGCATGTGGCAGTGTCTTTGAAGCTGGCAACAGCGGATTTGCTCCCGATCAAGAGGGTGCGGTTCATTTCGCGCCCATCCACATAGTGGATCTTGTCCCTTTCTTTCAGGAGGTCCACCTGCTCCGCCAGCGTGCAGCCCTTGTATGTCGGGGATTCCAGGACCGTCTCGAGACGCCGAAGCCAGCAGATATAGGAGCACGACAATGACACGAGGGTGCTCGTCCGTGCCTGCGACTGCAGGCCCAAAATGGCACTTCGGACCGCCCCATCTGGGTCCTCTGCCGATGTAACCAAGTCATGGGCCTGCAGCTTCACACACACGGCCAAGTCGAGCCACTGCTGGATGGCGCCGACATCGCGGTCTAAGATGGACCGCGCCAGACCTATGTAGAAAGCCGCCACGACCGCGTGCCCCTCAACCAATGGGCAGCGCTTGAGACCGGACGCTCTGTCCTGCCATGCTGCGGCCTCTGAGGCACGCAGGAGGATGGGCAAGTCCATTGGCCACCGACCGCCGAGGAAAAGCGTGCGGGACGCCCGCACCAAGTCCAGAAATGAAACCGTCTGCACAGCGGTGTGGCCTGAGTCGACATGGACCCAGAACACACTGCCGGTCATGCTGTAGACAGACCCTTTCGCCAACGCACTGTGCAGGTCCTTGGCCGACCAGTGGTCGGAAGCACCTCTTTCAGGGGCTAATGTAAAAAAGTGATGCGCGATGAGGAAATGTCTTACAGTGGGGTTGAGGGCCCAGGGGTGAAGGATCTTCCCGAACAGAGACAGAAGAGACAGAAAAAGAGTGACAGAGAGAAAGAGACAGAGAGGGAGAGGGAGAGGGAGAGAGAGAGAGAGAGACGGAGAAAGAGAGAGAGAGAGAGAGAGAGAGAGAGAGAGAGACAGACAGACAGACAAACAGGCAGACAGACAGAGAGACAAAGACAGGAAGAGACGAAGACAGGAAGAGACCAAGAGACAGAGAGACAAAGAGACAGCGAGAGACAGACGACAGGGACAGACAGAGAAAGAAAAAAACAGAGAGAGAGAGAGAGAGAGAGAGAGAGAGAGAGATAGAAAGCGAGCCTGCCGCCCCTATGTCATGCCCCCTGCACCGCAGCTGGTCCACCAACCATTCTGGTAGGCCCCGAATGAGTTCTCCTGTGGGACGTAAGGACATGTCCAAGGGCGGTGGCCATGACCATAGTGGCCGAGGCCGCTTCTCCTGGTGTTGACGACGATGCGTCATACATCTACAAACCAACCCTGACCTGCCGGAGCCCAATTGGCCTGCCGCAGTCCAAGTAGCAGCGAATCACTGCCCATTGACCCTACCCCCCCCTGCTCTCGCTTTTTACGCCAAACATTCCCTACCCTCCCCCGCCTCTTGCCAAACAGGAAAGGGTGACGTCACCCTGCTCACTTTTCTTGAAACCCCTCGCGACCCCCCCCCTCCCCCTCCTCCTAAAAGAAAAGACCAGCATGGCCGCCCTGCTGTGCGGGACGAAGACCCATTGAACCCCAAACCCGAAACCCTACACCCTGAACCCTAAACCATCACCTAAAGCCAAAACCTTCAACCCGACCGCAGACCCCAATGCAGCCCCGCACAAGCCCCGCCCTGCCCTTGACTCCCTTGCGAAACACCGAACAGGAGGATGACGTCACCCTGCTCTGATTTTTTTTGGGCCTGCCCGTAAAACCCTGCTCTGATGTTTGCGCCTGCCCGTACACCTCTTCCCAAGCAGCCCTGCGAAACACCGATGCAGGAGGATGACATCACCCTGCTCTGATTTTTTTTGGGCAGGCCCGTGCACCTCTTCCCACCCGACCGAAACAGGAGGGTGACGTCACCCTGCTCTGATTTTTGGACCTCCCCGATACACCTCTTCCCACCGAAACAGCCCGTAGACCTCTCCCGTGCAGCTCTGCGAAACAAGCCCAAACGGGAAGCTCCCAGCAACCCCAAAACCAGGGCAGGGTGACGTCACCCTGCCACCCTTCTTGGTGGGCCTGCCCAGCCCTCTCATCCAGGCATGTTGTTTTAAAGAGGCCCGGTCGAATGCCCAGAAAGCAACCTTGTTTGAGAGAACTGGGAGCCCTTCCTCTGAGGGCCAGGCTGGGCCCAAACCAGCCCTCGATCGGAGGCCTGAGTTTTTCGACAAGATAGACGTGATAGGACTGTACACCTGCCATCTGGAATGAGCGAGCCACGACTTGGCCACGGGCACCACTGCGAGGCTTCGGTCCTGCGCCGCGGAACGGTCATGCTGCGAACGCTGCGAGAGCACAGCAAGAATGGAAAGAATCAGCCAAGCTCTTTAGTTCATTTTCGCGCACCTTTTTTTCAACAAATGTCCTTGAATCTGCTCCCCGCTTTTGAGGGAGACCTTTGAGACCGACCGACCGTCGTCTGGCTTCGCGTACCGCTGCTGGCTGCTTTGCTCCGACCGGAGGCTGAGGCGGCACTCTCCCGCTTCCTTTGTGGCTTCTTGATCTTCAGGCCCTTCTTCTTCACATTCTTCCTGGTCTTGCTGCTGGCCTGATCGACCAAAGTGCCTTTGCGCCAAAAGTATAGCCTGGGAGGGGCACACCATGTTTTTGCAGGAGACCGGGACGGAGGACCCTTCGACGCTGCGTCCCAGTGCACAATGCCCAGGCAGAGGAGTAACATCACAGCAACAGCTTGTACGTCCTGACAATTGCCGGCCAGCTTGGACAAAGCCGTCTCCTCCAGATCGGGCGGGACCTCGATCAAGTCGAACGGCTGACCCAAGAGCTGCAACTTCTGCCGCGCCGTCAACACACTGGCCGAACCCTGGGGCGGAAGAACCACGATCTTGCTGGACCCGGTGATCGTGGGACCTGAGCTGGAGTCAGGGGCAGAGGCACGGGGACGTAAAACCCAGAGAGAGACCGGCATGCCTGGACAATGCTTGCTGCTTAACAGGGGCTTCATTGTCATGAGGGTCCTCACTCACTCACCTGCCTTTTTTTCGCAAAGCGCGGGTCATGCCGCACGCACGCAAGAGTTGGGAGACTGGAGCACGGGGCTGCACAGCTTCCGGTGCCTCAGGCCCAGAGAGTCAGCACGCTATGTATACGTTCGAAAAAGACCTTAGTATATGACATGCCCGGAGTCGTATGAGTAGGTGATTGAAGACCATTGGGCCCATTCCTGCTACTAGAAGAAGGGACATCACGTGTGCTCACTAACGTGTCGGTCCCCGGCTTCAACGCGAATGGGACACAACAACATAAACGAAGAATGGGCCCTCTTGTTTCGCGACGGCTTCGCCGCCACCTGCCTGGTTCAGGCACCTTGAATCGCAAGACCAAGCTGAAATTAGCGCAGCCTCCATAAAACCGGCACTCTCGCCGTGGGCCAAGACCCCCACTATCCTCATTTTGGACCATAGCGGAAGTAGGGTCCACTGGTCACACGCGTGCTTGTACCCGTACTGCCGGTTTGTCCACCGGTGAACTGGGCGGCAGGTCTGCCCGATCTTGAAGAGGCAGTGAGACGGGAACCCACGTATGACCGTATTCGCGTGATCTAAGACCTTCGAAGCCAATGTAAACGGAGTGACGTCCAGGGCCACGTCCGACTCCAGCATGATCGGCTGGATGGCCTCCATGATACCAGGCAATTGGACCAAAGCTGGCGGTACCAACGTTTTCCAATAGTTCGGGGAGACTAACTTCGTCCCCATGGAGGTTTTCATGCTTTGCACGGCTGCTGGACGTTCTCCGTGCTCTGGCTGCCCTGCACATGTGCACAGGCATGTGGCAAGCATTCAGGGCATTTTGTTTCAACCACAACAAACAAAGACATGCCTAGTTTTTCTTCTCATAGGTAGCCAAAGAGCTGGGACCGAAACCAGCCTTTGCTGAGTTCACAAGCTCCTGAAGCCACGCGGACGAGTCGTCAGTGGTTGATGGCCCCGCCAACAATTCCGACAGCCACTCATCATCCGAATCCATGGCTGATCCCGTGGCACGTCCAGTGACTACACTCCAACCCCTGAGTGACAGCAGCACGCACACCCTCCGTTCCTTATCATGTAAGCCCTCCGACCACTCGTTTCTGACCCTGAGCAGAAAGTTAACGCCACACGACATGCGTCCGAGTATAGCTTGAGGGTCAGGGTTTCCCTTGGGTGACAAAGCCCGAAACCCTAAGCCCTGAACCCTAAACCCTAAACCCGAAATCCTAAGACCTCAACCCTAAACCCGGATGCACTGAGGCATGAACAGCAGTTCCGGCCACCGGGAGCTCGGTCGATGCTTTGCGACACATCGCAGAACACGTAGGACTTGCCCAGCCAACCTTGCCCACGCGCTTTGGCCTCGGCGGCCTGAAGGACCTCCTGCTCACGCCTCAGGAGACCCGGCAAGGTCCGAAGGGGAGGAAGGGAACGCTGCCCGTTCTGCGTCTGCCTCCAGAGCTCATGACGGGCCTTCCACTTCAAGCCACGCTTCAGGCCGTACTTCTGCACGCCAGTTCTGGGCTTGACCATGGCAGAGGAGCCGGACGAGGACCTCGTGGACAGGCGACCTCAGGCATGCCCACACTGCGAGGGTTCAGAACAGCAATGAGTGTTGTTCAGAAACACATATATATATATGTCATTTTATTAACGCCAGGACTCCTTCACAGCAATGATGTCAAAAAAAAGAACAAGTATGTCATTTTATTAACGCCAGGAGTCCTTCTCTCAAGTAGTCCGACAAAGTCCTGGGGCCAGCCTTGTGGGTGACCGCCGCAGTAATCATTCTGGTCGCCACCTGGGCAAAGGCCGCCTCAGACTTGCACAAGTCCACGTCCTCACGGACCAAAAGAATCCACAGGCGAGGCCGCCGGATGGGTTTGCCCAAGTCACTGGAGCAAAATCTGACCACCCTGACCTTGTAGTTGCACACATGCTTCTGCATGATGCGCAGCGCCTGGGTCCAGACGCGGCCGAAGCCCACCACGTTCTCCAAGAACGCGCAGGGCGGTTGGCAGACCGAAATGGTCCGCAAGGACTCTTCAAAGAGCCCGGCCTCTGGGTGATCCCAGAACCGCCCATCTCCATTCAGCCGAGACCAGGGCTTGCAGCTGAAGCCGGCCGTGTAGACCTGGACCTTGGCCTTGGAGACCTCAGACCGTGGCCTTTTGAACATGTCGGACCACAGGGTTCCAGGCCTGTGATTGGTCCGAAGCCATGCCCGACTGGCCGCAGAGGCGTCCGAGGCGAAGACCAAGTCATGCCTCACCTTCATGGCCTTGAGCGCTGTCCCTGCCGCCTCCAGACCAGCGCAGTCAGACCCCAAGCGCAGAGGCGGCAAAGTCAGACCAGGCCAACGTAGCTTTGCGCCCACCTCTTTCCTGGCATCCAGCATCTGTGCGCGGGTCGTCTCGTACCAGGACCCAAGGCCGGGGACCACGGCCATGACCAAAACCGGTCTCCAGATCTATGTGTCGTGCCAGGACCCAAAACCGGTCTCCAGACCTAAGTGTCGTGCCACGATGTCACAAGGCCGGGGACCACGGCCGCGGCGGTTCCAAAACCGGTCTCTAGAACTAACTGTGGCTTGCTGCAATCATAGCGCATGATGTTCACGCTGCGCCATAACTGTTT